CTGTTCTTACTGTTTTTCTAATGGTTACTTCAGCTTCTCAGCCCAGCAAATCCTCTACATAGGCCTCTGTTTTGGCTTATGCCATCAGAGTTATCATAGCTTTCCTACCTTACTTACATAACCAGTATATTTGAGCCATGAGTGGTGATAGATAAATTATATTTCACTCTATTAATCTAATTATTCGATATCATAGTTTATTGTCAGGTTTAAACTCACTTTGTAAGAGATATAGTCATTTTTATAATAAGAAAGTGGTATATTATGTATATATAGATAAATAGTAAGAATAATTATATGGTGTTGTGCACCCAAATAAATCTGTTAAGCAGAGCCTTAAGAGGGGTATTGTCCCCCAATGTTTGTGACATAACCGGAAGGGTCCAGTATAGCGAGTGAGACTGGTGATGTCTAGTTGGCAGCGATCACAGGCGTGCATGTCATGTGACTTCTAAGATGGATGTCTTCAAAGTCACCAGGCTCAAGGTAAGGACAGTCTTGTCTGAATGATGAGTGTCAATCGAGATAGACTTAAGCGCAAATAACACTTAAGAAAAGATACTAGAGACTGAAGCTGAAGAGGCTTCAGAGAGAAGTATGTTCCAGGGAAGATTGAGTAGATTCAAGTTAGAGAATCTAGTACAAGTTGACTACCTACTTATACTAAGTAGAAAGGGTTTAAGGGCTGGGTTACTGTACTGTAGGTAAGGGTAAAGGGGAAACAGAAATAGTATAGGTACACTGGCAACACAGCTGGATTAGTGATAGGTAGTCAAATGTGGAACGAAACCAAGAAACATTGGAATGATCCAACAGTAAGAATACAATGTGTAGGAAGCATAGTCAGAAGAGAACCAGAAAGGGAAGCCACATTGGTGGCATGAGTCAGACTAAGTCAGAGGTGTGGGACTACAGTGGTGGTCAAGTTATAAAGGGAAACGTACATGCACATGCATAGAGGAGGATGATATGAGGAACAGGAATGGTTCTGAGGATCTAGTCAATAGATAATTGGTAGAGGAGGACAAGCTGGTAAATGGTAAGGGCAAGGACAAAGGGAAAATGATAGGGGGGCCATGTGACTAATATTACTTGTAACATATGGTATTTCTTTTTGCTTTTCCTCTTTCTCTTTGGTTTGCATTAGAGGATCTCAGGTTTAAGTTGTGCTTTGGGCCATTCCAAAGTGGAACATTAGGGAAGAGGCAGAGGCTATGGAAATATGTAATAGAGTAGCACTTTCTTTGAGTTCAGAAAGATATGTGAGGGAGGTAGATGGGTTTTTAGTTTTATTTATACTAATAAGTTATTGGTAGGGCTAACTGCAAATATGTTGTACATCAGGAAATCTTAAAAGACTTGGCCAAGTCTAATAAGATCAGCTAAGTCTGGCAGGTCATTAAACTGATTAAGATTAGCAGATGACCTGGACATCTTATTAAATTATACTATTTTACATTCTTTTATAATATCTTAGTCATCTTGGCTAAGACATGGTTTCTTATTTACCTTTTATAAGTTCTAAAGATCATACAAAAGTACTAAAGTATAATCAAGAAAAGTGTAGGTCTCCTAATGTAGCACAGTAGTAGGATGCCTCTATTGACTTTAAAGTTAAGGTGCTCTACCTAGAAAAACTTGATGAAGGTCCAGATTACTGAATAAATTGAATTGTTGAAAACTTTACTTTTAGACAAGATGTTACTAATGTCCTATCTAGTTATATTTTTGGACCACATGTTGTAGATAGCTAATTTAATAGTATTGATATCAGTGGTAGTGAAGCTATTATAGGCAGATGAGGAGTAGGGGAGGAAGAGGGCAGTTAACCTTAAATGAGTGAGCAGCAAAGGATATCTCCATTAATGACCAAAATATATTAGTCTAGAATAAGGGTCTTAGATTACAGCTCATCTATTGCTATTTAGATCTAGAAATGAGAATCTCTTTCTAGTCTAATATTTCAGAATTCACATAATATGTAATATATATTTATATTCTGCATATAGATTGTGTCCCTACACTAATCTGGTTTGACTATTTTTTTGTTTCTACAATAATTAAAGATGTAATTGAGCACATTATTTACACTAAAAAGACAACACTTTGAAGCAATGCTATGTATGATACTCTTGAAAATGTTGTAGTGTGCAAAAATTTTCTTCTCATAACTGCCATCCATAAAACACTCAAAGCTCAAAGACATTAGAAAATGCATTGGCTCTTTCATCAAATCTCAATCTGTGAAACATTTGAAATTGATAAATATAGTTCATTAAAGTCTTCAATATATGCAATAGATCAATAAATAGTTAGAATGTAGAAATATGACTAAGCTATAGGGAGGTGTCAGAAAGCCCTGCTTCTTAGCCTTAGGCTTGTTCCTTGTAGTGTGGAAAAATAATGATATTATATGAAGATATGGTTATTTTAATTTAATGACTAGTAATAGTGGAATTAATATAATAGATGATTTGTATAGCATTATGAGCTTTTCCTATAGTAATATGTTAGATAATAGCCCTTCTATCAGTAGAGGTGAGCTTGAATGAACATCCTCCATAAGATTTTTCTTTGTCTATATTGCTTTCTTTGATAATCTTGGCCACCGTAAATTTATATACTTTAGTTCTAGAGGAAATTTGAGTCAGATATGGTTTAAAAATAAACATGCTTTTTATGGTATCAAAAATAATGATTTATAAGATAAATAATTCAAAACTCACTTCTCAAAGAAATTTGTTTTGTTTTTTCTTTCATAGGCAAGACATCTTCTTTGTGCTTAGCCTTATCACTGAAAACACATTTATATATAAAGTTATGCACCTGAAGCAAATTTTTGTTCAATGCTAACTACTTGTGTAATAATAGATACAGTAATGTTTAGATGTAAATACTAATTAAGATGCCTAAAAAGTAGACAAGCAAAATCCTCAATTGCTGCAAAAGCCATCAAATGTTCCACAAATATAGAAGATTGATTTATAATTTAGTTTAGTGCCTATTTAGCTTTGCTTAACAAAAGATAAATAAAGACAGAAGCTACACTAAGTAGCATGTACTGTACCAAGCCCCCAAATCCCAAATGCAGAAGCTACCCTAAGTAGAATACACTGCCCCAACCCTCTAGATCCTAAGGGTAGCAGCTACACTGAGCAGCATACACCACACCAAACCCCCAGATTCTAACAAAAGGTGCTGCTGACAAAAAAAATTAGTAAAACTAAGTGGAAAGAGAATGAAAAAACTAGAGTTAGTAATTAGGAATAGCAATAAGATAGCATGCTAATACTTAGATTCAAACAAAAGATGCTACTGAAAAAACAAAATTACTAAGTAGGTGTACTAAAAACAAGCATGTACTATACCAACTACAGAACCAAACCAAAGTTAGCAAGTAAAAGCACAAAAGAACAATACTTGCTACAAGTATTGGTGATTATAGAATAGAATCTTTGAATCCTTATAGGACTATAGGCCTGGTCAATTCTAAAATATCATCATGAGAGTCGACTGAGCCCTGTATGTGTTACAATCAAGGTACACCCCCATTTATTCTCCCACTTCTGGACAATGGTCTCTTACTGTCACTACTATATAGAGACAGATTACATTCTAATATCTCACTTTCCTTATCACCAAGATCTCTTATTGTGTTAGCAACTATCAACATGCACCATATGAACACTCTTAGCTTCTTTCTTGATATGTACTCTATGCTTACTATTCTTAGCTTAGTCTATGCGCACCAAAGGGACTATTTGAACACAGTAGTTACCTCTTGTATTCCCTACTTTAATCTACTGGGTTTTACCTGGAATCCTCTGTTCTACTAAGAGATATACCTTAGTAGTTTTGAATCACTATTCTCAGTGTCACTATCCTTAGCCTTGATATCTGAAACCTACATTCGTAGGAAGACCCTACGTCACAAGATACTTGGCTATTCGGTCTTTTGAGAAGAGGAATGATCCCAGTTATAACAATATGTAAATCTAATAGCCATTACTTATCCAAGATACATATTGATAGCTGATGCTTAGTCATGAACTCAAGCGATATTGAATCAACAAGTTGACAAAAGTATTGTTATTCACTTCACACTGCAATGCAACATATGCCCTCCATGCAACTACAAAAGAAAGACTTCAAAAATCTTCTGATCTTAAATTCTGTACATACCAGTATGCTTGCTGCATCTCATCATGAGCAAGGCTGTCTGCAGGAGTTATCTGATAGAGAAGATTCCAATGATGAAAATAATTAAAAATCACACTTTTTTACCCATACAAGTGCAGGCCTTCATGCATTATCCATCATGCTATCAATCTCCCATGGCACTTACAATCAATGGAAAAAGTGCACTGAATTCTTCAAAATCTCAATGACCTGGCCAGATAGAGATTTCTGCCACAAGTATTGGTGTGTTTTTTTTGTCCCTCAAAATGTACTGAAACCCAATTGTAGTATTGGCTGGACCACGTTTGACCGCTTAGTGCTCATTTTGGAGCAGAATCCTATCTTTTGGTTTACAGGAAGGAAGCCACAGCATCCTGTGTACTATCAGCTTGCATATTTCCTCCTCCATTATGGAACACATGGTGCTAGTGTTATGCAAGCTTTGCACAAGCTGGGATCAGTTTTGGTAACTTTTTCTTGTATTGTAAACGTATGGTGCATGCTGTTTGAGAGCTGGTCTTAGACATTGTGACCTGGAGTGATGAAGACCATCTCCACCAAGTAGCCACACATGTTATGGATCATTCAGGCATTCCAGACTGTGTTAGTATGCTAGATAGCTCTCTTAAAAGATGATTTACTGCAATTGAACTAGGTTGGCCCAGATCAGTATCAGATGTCACAATGTGGAAGAAATCTCACATTTGGTAGCATTGATGTGACTATCTTTGAGACAGAGCTCCCCTCCTTGCTAATAAAGGTATGTCAATCCAATTTATATCATACTTTGTACTCACATCTGACAAGGTTACCTATTGTCACCATATGTTCTTTGTTCTTTCACCAAGCCCGAGGTAAATGGCCAGCTACCTGTGGAGAAACAATGCTGCCACAACTTCAATAAGCATCTCTCTTCTCAATGTATCACTGTAGAGCACACATTTGAAATGATGGAGAGCCATTTTCCAAGCTTGAAAGACTTGCTACCCGAGCATGACATTCATGACACCTACTGTGTAGTAGAAACATTGCTGACATTATACAATCTCTGTATCAACCTGGGTGACTATCCAGAGTATATTCCATTCTTTGACAACACTGATCCTGATCGTGACAACAAGAATAATGATGCTATGGACAATGTTGATGTCACAGGTTTTGGTGGAATTGCTGAGGGAGGTGAAGTTGAGCTTCCTGCATGGGAGATGAATAAGTAATTGAGGGAAGCCGGTCGATGATGGAGGTGTGCAATTTTGAATAATCTTTTTCTGCTATGATAATTATTGACTGGTAGTAAAATAGTCAATTAGTACTTGACAAGCAGCTGCCTTCACCTTGTCTGGCAACCTGTCAATCAAGAATACCTTTTGCGCATTCTTCACTTTGGTTTCAATCTTGGCTAGCTTTACCTTAGCCTTTCCTTTCTCCATCATAAAGCCATGCTGCTTATCCTCTTATGTTCCTCATTTTTTGAGCAATTTTAGATGTTCACTGTTAGCACTCATTGTAGCCTTCACATAGAGCTCGCTTTTACTTCCAAGGAGAGTCTCTAACAAAAGCTTTGTCTCCTTATCTAGATAGCCTTAGTCATCAAAATGGCTGACAGGCTGACAGTCCGACAGTGTAGAGGGAGAGATTCAAGCAGCAAAAAAAGAAAAAGGTGGAAGGAACGATGAACTGTGGAAAGTTAAAGTTAGAATAGATAACTATATAAGTTTGTAGGTATTTGTCCCACAAAGCCACTAGCCCAGATAATGTTTGTTTGTCACTAACTGGCAAGCTTATGTAATGTTTGTTGAACTTCATCAACTCTAAGTTTTGTTTTTCTCAACTACATTGTTTTTGTTACCTATTATTGTCTCTGTACCTCAAATGTATATGTAAGTCTAGAATTTTTGAATATATATTTGTCTATCAGCTAATTGTTTATATTATCACTTCTTAGTGGTTTCCATTTTCATGCCTTTTTCTAAAACACAAGTATATAAGTTGACATTTTTAGATGTGTTTTAGACTACTAACTACTGTTTTCAGATATATCTTAGTTCATCGAGAATCATAATTGCTATCTGTTCTCATGTCATTTGCTGGTTTTCAACATGTAAGTCTACTTTGTTAAGGACATCTTAGTCTACTAATTATTGTAGCTTAGTTCATCAAGTACCATAGCCACTATCAGTTTGCATACTCTACAACATATAAGTCTATCTGAGTCTACTAATTTCTATACACATCTCAGTTCACCCTTCTTATACATATGATAGCACACACCAAGAATACAGAAAATAAGACCACTAGCAGCTTGGTGACTCATGTCAACTTTGACTTAGATAGTGCCAGCAATATGTCAGTGGTGATGGAGTAGAGATTAAAAGTATGTAAGAGGTTCAAACACAATGAGGTAAGTTATTTCCTTAAACTGGATTTGACTAATTGGTCATTAAACATGCAGTTCTGTATCATTTGTAGGGACAGTTCTATTAAGGTTGAATATCTTGTTTTATGTAATGAATGTCCATATGACATTTGTATCAAATGTGTCACTTACACAGGCTATCATAGCATTGCATGTGACCTTCCAGTGTATTTATTGTCATATCTTAGGAAAACACCAAAAGGATGTTAGCTTGTTAGTATATTATGTAAGTTTCCATGACAGATTATGATAGTACAGGAGGGTTGTTCAAACTAGCTCATCAATTTTTGAAGTCACATTTTCCCAATGGTGGCATAATATGCTAGAAGGTAACATTTAATATTAGCACAGTCTCTAAGATTAACATATACCAAGCAGGTGTCAATAATTTGGTACACAACCTATTAATTAACAACTAGAAGCACATTATATTTAATATATCTAACCACACTAATAATACGCATGGAGACTTATTTGTAGGCTATGACAGAAATAAATATATTATCACTTTGGTTAACAATATAAGTGTTTTCTCTTTTGATTTGAATAATTGGTCTCACTTGTTATAGTTTTTGAGAATTATTCTTACACCTTGGCAGGTCCTCATTGATCATGTAGCTAAATCATTCCTGTGGTTTTTCTTCTGTGTTGCGCTTGATAATGTCAAGTCATTTTCTAAGTTATGCATTTTGATCACCCAGTAAGTATATTAGTTTTGTGACTTATAGCTGGTACTAATTTGACACAAACAGTCATAGTCTTTCTGCAGCTGTGGCCTTTAATGTAGTCTGGTTCCAATCAAATTTTGAAGTATATCTCATGTTTGCCTTCAGCAACCTTGTCCTTATCCAATGTCTTTACATTTGTTAAGCTTTTCCTGACATGCTTAAGTAGTTCTACAAATTTGGCCATTATTCAGATGTCTTTTTGCTGGTAAAAAGTAGCAACTTCATTGACATTTTCAAATACCTAAACTTATTCACAGCTTTGACCCTAGAGGAACTTCCTGCCACTTCAGTATCCTGAATGTGATCTTGTAGATGCTTGGAGTTCTGTTAATCATATTAAGATATATACATTTAAGTACAATGGTGACACATGTAGGAAGTACTTTACCTTCAGCCTGCCTACTAACTCAAGTTAGGCAAAACTTGTATTACCTGCTGGATTGAAATTTCATTGTAACTATGTATTTGTTTTATTATTCATATTAACATATTTAGAGTATCCAGATACTTTGCCTTGAATTTATAACACTGTTTTGTAGCTTATGAGTCTGACATTAGGTGTTTGTTTGTTTAAATATAAATATGGTCCATTGATCTCCAATATGGTCACATGACTATATATTCAGATACTGTAACTACATAACAAACTGTTAAGCTTACCTCAATCATTTAGGATTTAACTTGCCATGTAGTCATATATTTTCTTTATTCTTCCTATTTGATATCTATATGTTTCTGGTTATATATCTATATTATTAGTAGAATAGTAGTTAAATCTATTGTGATATTAAATATCAGTCACCTCTCAGATCAACATAAATACATGTCCTATATGATACATTAATTACAATCATGTGACTGATTAAACTAATTATTGAGATCTTCAGCTAGCCATACTGAAACTATCAATACTATTCACTTATAACATTATATTTTTAAACTTTATCTTCTGCTTATATATTTATGTCTTCAGACTAGACATGTAGCTTTAAAACTATTCTTGTCAATTATAAACTGACTTTTTGACTGTAAAATATTCAAAGTCAGAATGGTTTTATGTAATCAAGAAAATCTGCAAGAACATAGTTGCAGCTTATAAGGAACAAGGTAAAAAAATAACTTTGTTAAGTTTTTTGAAAAAGGTGTGATTTGCACAGATAAAACATTTGACTAGTCTAATGTATATAAAATTAATGATGAAGAATCTGATAAAGAAGGAGAAATCAATGCCTGTTCAAAGGAAGCTTCATTCTGCAAAAAAAAGCTGACTGATTAGAATGTGGCTTAGAAATCGTTCAAACAGGAAACCAATGAATTTCACAAAACAGAGCAAGCAAGAAAAAATAAGAAGAATCCCATTAAGTTTTGCACTGGTCATATATGAGAATAGTTTAACAAAATGATATCTACACAGAAAAAAGAAGTTAAAAGAAGTTAAATAAGAAAGGGTCAGGCTATATAAGTTTAGTGAATTTTTTATAAAATTTCAAGTCTGAAATTAGCTTACAGTTACCATAAGAATAGCCTTAACAAAGTACTTGAAGAATTTTCCAAGTAGCTTCATTGTAGTATGAGTTGCTATATTATGATGCTTATTAGTCACAAGCAGCAAGCAGACCAGACATTAAGTATCACCTTGTGAGTATTTAGGTTGTCTGTAAATCTTAAAAATAACAAACTACACCTCTCCAAACATGAATCTATATCTTATAATGTCAAAAATAGGCTTTAACTGGCTTTGAGTTTTTTAAAGAATGGGCAAAGACTAATTTTGTATATGTATTAATTCTTCATTTTATAAACACTAGTTGTGTTGAGATGGGGATGAAGTGGGTCACTTCTAGAGGCTACTGAGAGACCAGAAGAAATCAGACTAGAGTCCAGAGTAAGTTATCAATCTATTAAATGGTATAGTGAAGTTATACAGTACCTAGAGTCCAGAGTAAGTTGCCAAAGAGGCAGGGAGCACTGGACTCTGGGATATGGGCTATATATGGTAAACAAATGTAAACAGACAAGCCACAATCCAAAGGTAAGTAATAACTCGACCTAAGGATGTTCTAGGAAGGTCAAGAAGTCATGTAAATAGGTAGCAAAGTGTAAGACATAATACTGTAAGTGTAATGGCATAGTTAGACACATAAAAGATGTAGAAATGCATATTATAGAAGTGAATGATCATATAACTAACAGCCTCCCTTCCTTACCACTGGGCAAATCACACCAGAAGCCCTGCACACTTGGGAGATGAGTTGCATGCAATGTTTCTTACACAAGAAGGTGAAAGACAATGAGAAGGTAAAGAAGGTTGTGTGGGGTATAGGATTTGATAATCCAAGACTGGTACCTCAACAACCAAGAGGAGTTCAATGCCCTTTCATTCAAGGAGCATATTGTTGAGGTGTGTAATTATTGGCTACCTACTGACTGGTTTGACTCTGTCTATCGCAAAATGCTAGCATCTGTACAAGGCTAGCACCCATTCAATGAATGGGCAGTGGATATTCAAAGCCAGAATATACTCTTGCAAGAGACTACCTCACACCTCAACAACATCAACCTCTTATATTACCTTGAGTCCCATATGAACCCTGAGCTTGCTACGGACTACCATGTGGAGGGTATAACCGAGATCAATTTAAGGAGATGGATTGAAAAAGTACATCTCCTCGATGAAAAACATCTTCATTACCTTGCTAGGCAGAAGAATGTAGTCAATGCAGCTCTTTGTGCTGAATGAGCTTGCTCGACTATGGACAAAAAGGTCTTTCTGAACACTCAAATGAAGATGAACACAACTCAAACAACAAAACCTTTGTTCGCCTGCCCTCTCTCTCAGAAAATGAACGACAGCTGCTTCACGATAACAATGGGTACTTCAAGCATTGTGAACCATTCACCAGTCATACATCAAGTGTTTGCCTAAAGGGATTCCCAGATGGCATGAGCCACAAAATATTGATGTCGGCTACAATTACTGCTAGGAAGTTTAAGAAGGATGACAAGGTGGTTGCCTCAGTAGGAGTCAATAAGGTAATGGAGAGCACGGTTGCTGTCATGATGCCTTCTGTAGCCTTGGGCAATGATACTGACTCAGGTGAAGAGTGTGTAGCTCCACTACAAACTTTGCACCTGTGATGGACCTGTCTACTTGATGGGCCTGCAATTTTATTACCTCTAACTGTTTCTGCACTTATTGACCACAGATCCTCTCTAGTTCTGATTGGTGAAGAACTCGTCGAAGAACTCGTCGCATAACTCAGACTTTGTCAATGCAAACTGCCCAAACTGCTACCAATCTTTTTCGCTGTCTCAAAGAACAAAGAGTCTTTTCTTCTGTCACATTATGTCAAGCTTACATGCACTTCTCTTGACCAAATATATACATCTCAGACTGTATGAGCGATCATTGCTCCTAATCTTTGTACACCTCTGTTACTTTGGGGACCTTTTCTCGTGCACAATCACATTATAATTGATCATGAGCTATGTACTTGCATCATAAAGGACACTGCTGTGGCCTTCTAAAGAAGAATTTTCACTGTTACTACACTGAGTTGGTGCATGTTCCTTACCCTGACACCATCCATCCACCTTCATATCCAGTCTGAATGGGATATGCCCTTCTGCAAACAATCCAAAATCACATTCTTCAAGCAGTCATTGTGCTCTGGTGACTTGGTTCACCTCATTGTGCCAGACTTACTCAGGCAGGTCTGTATGGTCCTAACAATAGATCACATATTTGGTGGTTGAGTGAAGCTAGCATTTGACTTGGATGGTCAATGTAAGGAGATGAAAGCTAGACTTCAGGATGTAGAGCCTATGTTCAATGTTAGTGATGAAGTTTGCATTGTAGCTGGAGATTACTTAGGACTACAGGATCATGTTGTTCAAAAAATGATGATATCTTTTACATTTGTCAGTCCAGGACACAGGAACAGTGTGTTTCAAAGTCTCCTTTATACAATTATTTCTAACTCATTTCTTAAGTTGAGGTCTCCAAGTATTTTTTGGAGTGTCATTTAATTGATTGTATTGTTCAAGCCCACATGTTGACTCAAACATATGTTGACCCCCTGCAGGAGTCAAAGTCTGTTAAGACCGTACACAAAGGGTAGGACTGATTCCAAAGGGCTTGGCTTCAGCTCATGCGCTGTGCCCCTTACCCAAGTATGTGCCTTTAATTGCAGATGACATCCAGAGGAAGTCCATATGACTTCCGAAGGAGTGCAGGAAAGTCCGGGAGGACTGTCCGGATCTGGATGAGTGCGAGAAGCTTCCGGAAATTACTGAGAGGTTTCGTCCTGGTACAGATATGTGTAATGACTACTCAGGATGAATCCTGAGTAGAATGGATACAGAGGAAAGGCCGTAGGGACAAAGTCCGAAGCAGAATAGGTCCAGAAGACTGCGGGAAAGTTCCGGAGGAACTTCCGGAAACTTGGAGGATCGGAGAAGCAGAGGAGCGGAGCTCCAGCCTAGGGAATTCCTCCCTAGGCCTGAGATGGATATTGACTAAGTCGGAGGACTAGAACTAGTATGAGGACTTAGTGTGAGATCTAGTGCAAGGACTGATATGTGTAATATTTAGACTAAGAAAATACAGGAGTTTCTACAGGGTTTATATACTATGGAGAACATAACAGAGAATCAGTCAGTGCAGTGCAAGGCTATGTGAAGCTATGGACGGAGCATGTGGAACACCTAACACTAGTGTATCGGAACTTAATAAAATGAAGACGGAAATGAATCAGGTACAGAAAATAAAACACAATTGGTTATAGGGATAACTGGATGTTCGGAAACAGGTAATTACCATAAGGGGATGAGCACTGATTTAAGGTTTGGTCTTCGGATATGAAGCATAGGTCGGATCCAGAGATCCTGAAGAGTGGCTATCAGATTGGGTGTCCGGATATTGGATCTCGGTGTGTGGATATGCAAAGTTATAGAGATCTGGACAGATAAAGGACATGGACAGGGGGTCCGGAGGTCCGGATGAGGCGTGGGAACATTGTCGGATGTAGGTCCAGAATACGGGATATGACAAAGTCCATCAAAATCAGCAACTTTGTCCAAGTTTTAGTTGGGGTCTCTGACTGATTATATTGTCCACTTTTATAATAGATTAAAGGTCCAAGATTGAATTGACTAAGTAAAAGAAGGTATCAGGATGAGTCTTATTTTTTCATACTCTATGGTGTGCTTGCAGTCTCTCAAAAGCAATCCAAGGTCTAAGACTATTAGAGCAGCTAGGCATATAGACTAAATTGGAATTTCTATTAGTAGGCTCAAACTGCCTATTAGCACAGCATCTGACATACATATGTATATGCTCAGAAAGATGAAAATCTTTCCAAGACTAATCAACCTAGTGAGGTAAACTAAGTTCTTCATCTGGTGTTAGCCAGTGAATGATATTAGAATCAATATGTATTTAAGATTAAGTAAATATTTACAAGGTTTTTAGTTGTAATTGCTAAATTCTTGACTGCATCAACAAGCTCTAGATAAGACCTATCAAAACTAAGGTCATCTCAAAATTCAAAGTGGTAGCTATGTTCATTAGCTTCAGAGCTAACCTTAGTATATACTTTGTTTTTCTTGGAACTAGTTTCAACTCTAGCACTATTCCTTGAATTAATTCTCATGTCACATGGTCTTGCCTTTATAAAAGTGACCAGTTTCTTCTATGTCATACTCCACCTTTCCCAATAATGCCAGATTATATTAATATTCTTTGCTTTTATATGAGAGGAGTCATAAATGACAAGTTTATCTGAAACAGAACTAGCCTCCAAATACTTAGATAGACAAGAAGTTATAATGCACCAAGATATAGGCTTATGGCTACTAGTAAAAACTTCTATAAAAGCATACTAATTAAGCAAGTATATAGTAGTCTATGACATAGACATTTACTGTATGTAGCATGAAAAATCATGTATATGAGTTTTTGTTAATCCTTGAATATAATATCATCTTAAGATAGAAATTGTGCATAGCCTTTCTTGTCAAATATAATTATTGGTAGTCTATGTTTGTCCTCTTCTTCATTGCCTAGATTAGCTGTTACTTATATGATCATTCACCTCTACAATACACATTTCTACATCTTTTATATGTCTAACTATGCCATTACACTTACGGTATCATTTCTTACACTTTGCTACCTATTTACATGACTTCCTGACCTCCCTAGGATGTCCCTAGGTTGAGTTATTACTTACCCTTTGATTGTGGCTTGTCTGTTTACATTTGTTTACCATATGTAGCCCATATCCCAGAGTCCAGTGCTTCCTCCTACCTCTTTGGCAACTTACTCTGGACTCTAGGTACTGTACAACTTCACTATACCATTCAATAGATTGACAACTTACTCTGGACTCTAGTCTGATCTCTTTTGGTCTCTCAGTAGCCTCTAGAAGTGGCCCACTTCATTCCCATTTCAACAGAGGCTTGCTAGTGGATGCTTGCTCCATACTGTCATATCCCGTGTTCCAGATCCGGACCTATCATGCAATCATCTCTGGACTTCCAGATCTGGTTAGCTTCTATCTTCCGTGCCTTTTCCCTTTAGTATTTCCCTTCTCAGTTAGTGTGCTTTATTTTCCGTCCCTTATTCATTTCCGTCTTCATTGTATTGAGTTCCAATACACCAGTGTTAGGTGTTCCACATGCTCCGTCCATAGCCTCACATAGCCTCACACTGCACTGACTGATTCTCCATTATGTCCTTCATAGTATATAAACCCTGTAAAGTCTCTGTATTTCCTTAGTTTGAGTATTATCTTAGATTCTGCTCATTCCCCCCTCCATCCGACTTGAGTCTCTTCTCGTCGTCTCCAATAGTCTTAGGATCGACTCCTATTGACTTACCAGCTCTGCCTCTACCTTTGGTAGTCCTCCGCTGTTTCCTTTCTAGTTCGGACTTCGTCCGGATTAGTCTTATCACTTGTTTCCGAACATCCGCCAGAATTCCCACGCATAGGACTCCGGACATCGTCCTTTAGCCCTCGGAAGTTAGGGGCATGTACTTGGGTAAGGGGCGCAGTGCATGAGCTGAAGCCAAGCCCTTCGGATATGACCCTTGAGCATGTTCTTAACATATACACACAACCTTTGTGGTAGTAGACATCATAGGGAGATCCATAGATGACTCTGTCGAACTCAACGTTGTGGATGTATATGTGTTTGACAGCAACAGAGGATGGGAGTGATCTGCAGATGGTAGTTGTAGGATAGTAATAGGAGCGTCATCATTAAGTTTAGTTATGTTCTCGATGAGAGCAGCGTCAGTTTGACCACAACTATGTGTGGTAATTGTTAATGGCAGAACTGTATAGGAGCAGCAACACCATATTAAGACTAAGAACTACCTCCTCCCCAACCTCATAGCCTTTATATGGTGGATTAACCCCCCTCCCCCCCAGTATTACACAAGGAAGCAGTGTAAGAGCACATCTCATTCTTGCTTCATGAATATTTGCAAGTCCTCAAACTCCCTTACTACTTCCATGGGCTGCAGTTAGCTTGGACCCCTATATTGGTGGGTGTTCCTTTCTCTCTTTACATCCTTGCATATGTAGATGCCCCTGTGTGCAATTGTCATCGACAAAGCATTGTAATCTATAAGCACACACCCATATGCCATCTATTTTCATCATCTGATTTCCTCACTTATAATTACTAGTGGTACTCAACACAAATTTTGAAACTTTTGTAAACTCATTTAAATGCTTCAAACTCTTGGCTGAAGTTTCAAAACAAGTTGCTAAACATGCTTGGCGCATATCGGCATGAAGTTGGACATTTAAACACTTGTGATTTTCAAAGTGTGTGTTGTATTCATGGGGGAAAGTCATACTTGATAGAGTAGAAAAAAGCAACCACAACATAGGTTCGTAATGGGTAGTAGATGCTTCAACGTCGTTCATATTTCAAATGGTAGTATTCAGAAAATTGTAAAAAAATGGAGTCTACACAAGAATGAAATCAGCTGTAGGTACATAGAGCTGGAACTAGGGGGGCAGGAGGGGGAGACAGTGATGCTAAAAGCTGGTGTTGTGACTCGGGGAGAGCTCTCAAGGGCACCCGCGTCATCCTGCATCATCTTGTCACCTTCCAAGTGATCCAACACATCTCCAAGGGGGGCAGAAAAGGGCCGGGACTCTCTGAATAGAGGTCGTCATTGTCAGCGAAAGTTGTCACAAATATCGACGTTGGGGGACTTACAAAGGCCGGGAAGGTGCGTCCGAGCGGGGGGGGGGGGGGGGGAATTATTAAAAAGGGGGGTAAATGGGGGAGCAGGTTGGCATAGAGCCATGTATCAATTGAGGGTTTGCCATGCAATCCCTCAGCATAAGGAGCAGCAGGCAGACATGCGGCAGGACGTGCATCATGGGAGGGCAGAACATTGGGAGGATATGTGTTGGGGGAGGATCCTGGCTGTAGAAGGGGTTGGTATGACGAGTGTAAGGTTGAGGTGGGTGAGGTTTGGGTAGCGCTGAGTAATGAACCAGGGGCATAACCGCGAAGCCTGCTCCTGGCCATAGAAGGGTTGGTATGATGAGTGGAAGGTTTGAGTTGCTAATGAACTCACGGATGGCACGGGATGATAACCCATGGGTGTTACACTGACCGTCGGTCGGCGTGTGCGAACTTGGATAGGTCTTCTTAGCGATGGCTTGAGTGAGCCTATGAAGCTAAGGGTGGTTCTCAGCTTGACGGAACATCAAGGGTTCCTCCGGTTATCTCGGTAAGACGGCACTCGTCGAGATACAGGGCTAGCGGATACGGCTAAGAAGCGGGGAGCGACTTAGAAGTGCGGTCTAGACAACTAAGCTGGAAGGCTTAGTTGAACAAGTTTCAGGATAGAACCAAGTAGATTAAAGTAAAGTCTAAGTACAATAATCTGTCTACTTATATGTGCTACATGTAAGTGTTCAAGCTCAGTCTGTAATCTATAGTATATCTAGGATCTATGATAACAAGACATGAGGGTCAGATAAGGTACATGAGGCTTAACCTCTGATCAAGCATGCAGCGCCAAGTGCGACTGCGCATAAGTACATGAGGCGCCAAGGGCACTCTGGATCTTCATGAAGCAGCATGCTGTATACATGCGCCGATCTAGGGTGACCATGAGGTGTACAGCCTCCATGGATCAGGTACAAGGCCGTCTAGGCCAGGGGCGGTGTCATAGCGCCAGGGGCGGGGTCACAGCAGTCCAGACCGCTGTCTCTCTAGGTGCGGACGGCGCACCGCCGCGTTCAGAGTCTAGCAGAGCGGGGGCTGGTGTAGGCAGAGTGGGGGCTCCTGTAGGTGTTATGGATGCCTGTAACAATGGGTGCTAGAGGACCATGGATGGGTGGCCATTGGCAGCACTAATGCTAGATGGTGCTGGTGGACAACAACAGCTTGGCGGATGTCAGCAACAGTCTGCACGCTGATGGTGGCAGAAAATTTAAACTCCGATTTAAACTCCGCTAGAGATCAGCTGGAGATCAGGCGAGCTGATAAGAGATTACACTGAGTCCCCCACCACCATGCCTCGTCAATCCATACGTAAATACCTCTTGAATGCTGTTGATCAGGCTGCACTTGCATTAGCCAGGATGCAGGCTCAGGATATCCTAGATGACTGGTCAGACCTTGAGTCTGAGACTGACTCAGACTCGGACTCACTTTCCACTTCGAATGATGATGATATTAGCCATCTGTCTTTTAGCTCTCCATCCCCCCCTCCCCTATGACAGGGATTAATTCAGATTCTTCCAGTGACGAATCCAACAATGTCACTATGTCTTATGACAGGCTCCAAGACACCATCACTGCTCTTCATGATAAGGTTAAGAGGGTACATGTACTCCACAAGCCTGATGAACCTCCTCCACAAGCACCTCAACTTCACATGTTGGTTCACCATGAGGAACATCGCCCTCACTTATTTCAGCAGAAACTTTGTGTCAATCCAGAGATCTTTGACAATATCCTTGATCATATCTCTGATCACCCTATCTTCCAGAACCAGTCCAACAATCCTCAGCTCCCCATCTCCATCTAGCTTGCTATTTTTATGAATCGTGCAGGCCACTATGGCAATGCCATCACTCTTGAGGATATCACTCAATGGGCAGGTGTGAGTATCGGGTCAGTGGTCAGTTGCACTAATTATGTGATGGTCGCGGTGCTCAATGCCCATGATCAGTTTATCTGCTTCCCTGCAGATAACTCTGAGGATAGTGACCTGTCTCGGAAGTTTGCTGAGTCACGTAGTTGTCCAGAGTGGAGAGGTGGCTTTCTAGCCATTGATGGCTCAACTATGGATCTATTCACAACACCTGGTTATTATGGTGAAACATTTTATGACAGGAAGTCTAAGTATTCCCTTGGCTGTCAAGTAATGTTTTTTTTTCATCTTCATGTGTAATAATTAATTTAATTTTAGGCAGTCATCTTACCCCACAACCTCCTAATCGTCGATTATTCTCTTGGTCATCCTGGGAGTGTCCATGATGCATTTACTTTTCAATCTACTCACCTGTATGAAGAGCATGCTGACCTTCTGCCTGATGGTCATTGGGTTTGGGCAGATAGTGCTTATCCATTGGAGCCATGGTGTATTGCCCCTTTCAAGAAGCCTCACAATGGATGGTTGACAAAGAACCAGAAGACATTCAATTATCACCTCTCTGAGGTATTTTTTTTTGTGGTTTGTCAATGGATTTATATTTATTTAGATTCGTATTCATGTTGAACACACATTTGCCGTTCTGAAGGGACGGTTCCAGTTCCTTTGAGAGCTCCACTTCAGGATTCAGACAGAGAAAGACCTTGATTTTGTTGTGCAGTGGATCAAGTGTTACATCATCCTGCACAACATAATCATCTGCTTTCAGACTGAACACCGCAAACAGGATGGAACATATACAAGTTCTCTAAAGTAGGCTCACACAGAGGGTGAAGATTTCATTCCTCAAGAGTTTGAGGCTCTAGATGGTGATGAGGTCATTGGTGACAGGACTTATGAGGGCACTCCAGGTCAGGCTACTCGTGCAAGGCTTATAGATGAGCTCTTTGATAGCCCTCGATCTCAAGCACAAAGAAGGGAAGGATGACAGTCACATTAACACATTAACATGCACTACTACTAAATGTACCTTGTACTACTACCAAATGTCCAGCATATGTATGTAACCTATGTAACATCAACTTGAATCAGAGCAGTACCAACAAAGGAGGACAGATGTTTAGAATGACAACAGCGTGGGAGAGACATATACACATCATGAGTAGCAAAAAAAACATGACAGCAACATACAATGACGATGATAAATGATTCATGCACTTGAATATCCGTCTCGCAAAGGCGTATCTCAGCATCGTGCTTCTCCTGCAAGTGTTGGTGGTTGACGGTGGCTTGAGAGACTTCATGCTCACAGGTACCGTGAAGCCATTCATATTTCTTGGTGTCACAATGATACTTGGTCTTCACATCAAGCTTGGCGAGGAAGTGTTGATGCTTGCTGTCATGGCGCGACATTGTGTCAGAGTGCACACTCTCAATCTCATCCTGAACGTGGTCTACCTGCTACATGATGTCAGACTTCGCCTTCTTCTTCTTTGGGCCACCCGCACTGTTTGGCAATGAGGTCTTGGGGGTAGGAGACATGCGGTAATCCAATGAGGGGGTAGTCTTGCGAGTTGTCGAAGAAGGTGTAGATATACTGCGCGAAATCTCCATTGATGGTTTGCGTCGCCTCCGACTCAATGGCCTCTGCACACCAAATGCTGCGTGGCTGTTGTAAAATGATGCTGGTGACTTTGCAGGGATTTCAAATGGGTTGGGGGGATCAGACAGTGATTCTGCGAGCTGGTGTTTCTTTGCTGTGGCTCAGGGAGAGCTCTCAGAGGCACCTGTGTCATCCTGCATATCCTTGTCACTGTCAAGGTGATCCAACACATTTCCAAGGGGGGCAGAAAATGGGCCGGGACTCCCTATATAGAGGTCATCATCGTCAGCAGGTCCAAAGTCATCACAAATATCGACATCAGGGGAATTATGAAGGCTAGGAAGGTGCGTCCGAGGGAGGGGGGGTTATTACAAGGAGGGGTAAATGTGTATTTCAAAAAAAGAGTAGCTGTGGATCAATTGGGGGTTCACCATGCGAACCCTCAGCATAAGGAGCAGCAGGACATGCATCGTAGGAGGGCAGAACATTGGGAGGATATGTGTTAGGGGGAGGACATGCGTTGGGAGGAGGACATGCATTTGGGGAATATGCATTGGGAGGATATGCATTGGGGGGATATGCGTTGGGGGAGAGCTAAGCATTAGGGGGAGGTGCAGTGGCACCAAAGTGCATGGAGGGACAAGCCCCACCACGCGATTGGACAAGTGAATATAGGGTGCCTGCATGATCAACGCCTGGCTTAAAGGAGTGTGTCTTCGCCGCTATGGAGGGATTACTATGCCAGATGGAATCGAGATCCGAATACCATGGAAGATCCGCAAGAACCCGTTCTACAAGATTCAATCAGCCAAGAACCAAAAACCAGAGATGATGGACTCACCTAACAGATTTTTTCTAGATGTCCCATCAAACAGGATGACACCAGCACCTGTGGCAGTAAATTGGCTCTTGTGCTTCTTGTACTTGGTCCTGAGTCTTGATGTATTTAATTAGCATATATGAGAACAAAATAATGAGACAGTACTTACCCTGAGACATGATTGGAGACTGAATCATGGAATTTCTTCGGGTTCTGATGGTATGCGGGGCCGTACTTGATGTGTTGCCCAAAAATAAGATGAGTGATAATGCCATAGATATCACCTTTGTCCTTGCCAGAGGGGTTGTCATCAGCAGGAGACATCTTTTTCTTCCCCTCGGAATAGAATAGAACCCTACAATCAGAGGGGTGCGTGGTTAGGTAGTTCACCAAGACATCAGTGAGGGCATTTTTGCTTTGCCATTGAATTGACATCTTGATGGCAGGTGCTTCTGGAGGGAGGTTGAGTGGTACATTGGAGAAAGACTCTCGAGGATCCATTGCCCTTGAGTGCACTCGAGTATTGGCTCTAAGCCGTGCAGAATGACAAATATGTTGGTGAGCAACAGGCATGATTTGAGACTCTGCCACACCGTGCCAGCCTGACTTTCAATCATAGTCCATCGAAGCCGAGTTTCTTGATGCGTTTAGAAGGTTTAGCTGCACTCTACCCGAGTTTCCAAAAAGTTTTGAAACTTTTTTTGAGTACCACTACTATAGTGAACTCTCCTTTTTTTTGTGATAAACCTATTGATTATGATTTTGTTTCTCTGAAGGTCCTACTGTGGGGCTTGTATCTCCCATGCCATCAACTTACTATCTTTCTACCCTCTCAGTTTCAAAGTCAATTGAAAGTTCCAAGATTCAATCCCTTGAGCAGAGTCTCAAACCATCACTTCATTAACTGTAAAGATTGACCAATGCTTCATTAGCTAGGCTTTGTTTACAAGTAGCAAAAACTTACCTCACAATCATTCACTAGAAGGCAGCAGAGAAGTTAGTTTAGTTAGTCAGGCTGGCTAGTTAGGAAGATAACTCATTAGATATCATAACATGTGACTTCTGAGATTGATAATACCCCCTGCCCTCTTAATAGACCAGTTTTTTAGTTGATCCTTTAAGAGTTTATACAAAGAATGCAGAAAACTGCCCTAGCATGACTCCATCATCTGACACTCCAGGCTGAGGGGTCCACTCTCCTATATCAATATACTGTCTAGATATGGCATACTATAGGTTGAGATACAACAGGAAAGGTCCTAGCAGATGCACATCATATTTAGGAGTATGACTGATCTTTCTCTTTGGGATGACTATTGGTGCAACTTAATTCTCTAGATAATGAAGTGTCTCATTACTTATTTAGCATGTAAGTGCTAGAGCTCTAACCTTAAAAATAGAAGAATGTCACCAAACAGAAATAGGTTTCCAACTTTGAAAAAAATTATTTTCTTGGGCTGGTACATATGTTAGAGGAATCTTCAAATATTCAATATGAGCTCATTCTATCTTATTTTATGCCTGCTTTAACTAGGTCACCTAGAGCCTCAGACATATGGGTAATCATTTTAGAGTTGAAATAATACAATGAAATGCTCCAGATGTCATCTAGACCACCTATATGATATGGTGAAAGGTATGAGATTATGTCAGCAGATGCAAAAATGTGAACATAGACTAAGGAATTGCAGCTTTTGGTGAGGATGAGTTGGATTTCACCTTCAATTCCCTAATGTGTATGTTAATAATTTACTATAGAAGTAGGTATATATGTGATTTATGCATTGAATACTCTTGCAATTAGACATAATGCTAAAAGAGGTGATGTTAAAGGGATTCGTAACTAATCCAAAGATGTAAGCTAATCAACATCTATTCTCTCATCCCTCTTAACAGTTTCTCTAACTTCCATGAGAAATAGCCTGGACCTGTGATAATGTAGTGGAGACCCTTTGGTTTCTCTTGGCCATGGTTATTTTTTTACAAATCTCTTAATACTCTTGCCTCTGTCTTTCTTCTAAGATTTCCATTAGTGTCAAATGGTTATAAGTCTATCAGATCAGCTGCAAATATATGCTTTCCTTTGATCAACTTTACTATATGATGTGCTTTTGGAGCTCTCTTTTGATTCTCTTTGCTTCTTCCAACAGAGTCAAATTTTTAAAATGCAAAGTTCATCACAAATACTATTACATCAGTATTTTGCATCCACACCCTTGTACTACTTGCAGGAAGACTGTTAAGAACGTGCTCAAGGGTCGGATCCGAAGGGCTTGGCTTCAGCTCGTGCGCTGTGCCCCTTACCCGAGTACGTGCCCCTAACTTCCGAGGGCTGTTGGACGATGTCTGAAGGTTGTCAGACGAGTCCGGAGTCTGATGTCCGATGCGCGGGAATTCCGGCGGACATTCAGGAATGAGGGATAAGACTAATCCGGACAATGTCCGAACTAGAAAGGAAACAGTGGAGGACTACCAGAGGTAGAGGCGGAGGTGAGAAGTCTATAGGAATTGATCCTAAGACTAGCGGAGGACGACGAGAGGAGAAACTCAAGTTGGAACAGAGAAGGGAATGAGCAGAGTCTAAGATAATATTCAAACCGAGGAAGTACAAAGATTCTACAGGGTTTATATACTACTGAGGACTTAACGGAGAGTCAGTCTGTGCAGTCCGAAGCTATGCGAGGCTGTGGACGGAGCATATAGAAAAGTCAAACACTAGTCTATCGGAAAATAGTAAATGAAGACGGAGATGAAGACATAGGAAAATAAAGGCGGAAATGAAACGAGGTATGGAAAATGAGTATAGTCTAACTGGAGAAGGAACGTACAAAGGGATAAGGCACGGAAGATAGACGCGGGTCCGATCCGGACGATAGATAGAAGTCGGCCGGATCCGGAAGTCCGGAAATGATGTGTGTGATTGGTCCGGGTCCGGAACGCGGGATATGACAAAGACAGTGAATGTTAGAGAATACCTGACATAATAAACCTTGCTTCAATAATTCCTTCTAATCCTTATTTATTGTCTTTATTATTCTGTAAAACTCTGTGATATATTTATCTCTCTCCTATAGTATGGACTACTGAGTTTTGCCTTTATGAAACATATCAGGGTTAGAAAAGAATAGGCAGCATCTGTTTATGAATACTTCTGACTTGGGATCCATGTGACCTAGAGTGATACCTGTATGATCATGCAGCCTAAAATTACATGCTTCAAAAGTGATGGAAGTAAGGGGTTGTCATTGATGCTTATGATTGTCCAGCACTTCATAGCCTCCTGGAGTAAGCTTGGATGGAGTCTGATACCTTTAAAGACATCATTTGTGAGTATGAGCCACATGTGTCTGACAAACAAGACTATCAATTATCTAATAGAGAGTTCAGTAGTAGACAACCTAATAGACCATGTACATGGTCTTATTATTAACCTAGGAGAGCTTATGATAGCTGTCTTGAGTCTAGTCTATATTAGTATACAACTAAGAGGATAGTCTTCTATCTCTAACTCAATGTTTTTTCATCCTTCTGTCCTTTCTACCACTCTATCCTTTTAAGCCAGCACATTTATATTATTGATTGACTACACCTCCACCAGGTAGGTATCACTGGCTAGATTAAAGCCTGCAGGAAGAACATCTCTGCTGTCTTAAGTACATTTCTGTATTTAAGGAGTGCAAAATATTTGTATACATGACGATTATAAATGATAGGAGTAGATATAGTTAAATGAAGCATATGGCTAAACAAGCTAGTTAGGATGCCAAGATTAGGAGAATTATTTTTATGATGGATGTTTGGGTCCTTTGAATCTCCTGCACATAGATCTTGCACTTGCATGGTTCAAAAGAGTCCTTGAGTTTGATTTTATGGTCAAATTTTAGTTTAGGAGGGAGAGTACCATTTGCTACTTCACCAAATACATCTTTATACTTCTGGAAGGACTCAGGGATGAGTTCTTTGAAAGTCTTTTTGATGGGTTTCATAAATTCTTGTGCTAGAAGTTGCAAGGTATTCTGTGCTTTCCATAATAAAGTGCTGTAGGTCAAATAATAGCAGTGATCTGAAGGAATGTGTTTGTTAGTAAGGGGAGGTTTGGATACTTCCATAGAGAATGTTTTGATAATGTGTTTGCCCTTGATATAAGCAATGAGAACATCATTAGGTTCTATAGCATCTGTTTTGTCAGTATCATCTTCAGTGGGAAGGAGGTTAGGGATTTTATTGGAAAAAGATTCTGGAGTGGTTTTGTGAGATGGATCCCACTCCTCATCTGAACTTTCCTGTGCATCATAAAGGATGTTTTCTTCTTCCACTTCTTTAAGAGTTGGTTTGATGCTTCATTCACATAGGTGGACTTCTTCTTTTGTCCAATCGATATTTGGGTTTTCTTTCTTTAGCCAGCTTATTCCCAGGATTGTGTCTTCCCCTCCCAGAGAGGCAATAAGAAAGCACATTCACATAGGAATTCCACAGATGAGAAAGGATAGATTACAGTACCGTGTGATTCTTCCATTCTTGTTGAGCATACCATCCACATTTCATATGGGTATGGGCTTATTGAGTTCATGATTCTTGATTGAGTTTTGACAGACCAATGTCCAGTCGATAAACTCACCTTCAGCACCTGAGTCAATTAAGGCGGCTGCTTGTTACATACTCAAATAGGTCTGTTATGTGAAGCTCTAAGAGGGGCATCGTCTGCTAACGTTCGTGACATAACTGGAAGGATCCAGTATAGCGAGTGAGGCTGGCAACATTGAGTTGGCAGCAATCATGGACGTGCATGTCACATGACTATTAGGGCGGATGTCCTTGAAGTCATCAGGCTCAAGATAAGACAGTCTTGTCCGAACGATAAGTGTCGATTGAGATGAACTTAAGCACAAAGAGCACTTAAGAAAAGATACTAGAGACTGAAGCTGAAGAGGCTTCAGAGAAAAGTATGTTTCAGGGAAGATTGAGTAGATTCAAGTTAGAGAATCCAGTACAGGGTGAGCAACTACTTATACTAAATGGAAAGGGTTAAGGGCTGGGTTACCATACTGTAGGTAAGGGTAAAGGAGAAATGGAAAGGTGTAGGTATATTGGCAATACAGCCGGATTAGTGGTGGATGGTTGAATGCGGAATGAGACTGAGAAACATTTGGAATAAGCCAACAGTAAGAATACAACACATGTGAAGCATAGTCAGAAGGAGACAAAGGAGGAAAGCCGCATTGGTGGCATGAGTCAGGACAAGTCAGAGGTGTGGGACCACATTGGTGGTTGAGTCACAGGAGGAAATGTGCATGCACGTGCATAGAGGAGAATAATATGAGGGGCGGGAACGGTCCTGAGGATCCGGTGTCATGCATGGTATGTGATTCATACCATGTTAGTTATATATAGAGAGTGATAAGGAAGGTATAAGAGATTGTCTAGCCCTCTGTCACTGAGTGACCTCTCTGTTTTTCCCTTGATTCATTGTCTTATATTTTATTTCTCACTTTTCAGACTTGTTTTATGTTGTATTTTTATTATCATGTGACCTTCTGTTTATTTCTCATTGTTTATTTTTATTTGGCTCCTTT